ATATATATATATATATATATAGTTATATAGCTTAAAGTGACATTAAAATCTTACCTGGGTTAATTAGATTAACTCAGGTTAGGGTAATTAGGCAAGTCGTTGTAAAACAATGGTTTGTTCTGTAGCCTATCAAAAAAAAATTAGCTCAAAATGGCTAATAATATTGACCTGAAATATTAATTAAAAAATGTAAATTGCTTTTATTCTAGCCAAAATAAAATAAATAAATAAAAAACGCTTTGAATATAGCAAAAAAAAAAAATGCTTTTATTTAAGCCGAAATAAAACAAATAAGACTTCCTCCAGAAAGAAAAAATATTATCAGACATACTGTAAAGTGATAAAGTATATAAGTGGTGTAATGGATCACAAACTTCACGGTTCAATCACATTATGGTATTTTAGTCACAAATCAGTTCAGCCAAGAAAGGGGAGGAGACAAATGTCATTTGCTATGCATTTATTACAAAAACACATAAAAATATAAAAAAATAAAATTAAGAAATAATCATCTGAATAAAGAAAAAATTGTAAAAAAAAAAAAAAATTCAGTTCTGTGAAAAACTCGCAGTTATACAGGTTGTATTAGCTATCAACAGAGATGTACATACATTCACTAATACAACCTGTATATAATGTTCCTAGTACATCCATCTGTAAATATCACCATAGTTTTTTTATAATTGCACTTTATAACTTATACCTGTATCCTGCACTTGCTGCTATTGCACTGCTGGTTGGACCTAAACTGCACTTCGTTGCTTTGTACTTGTACATGTGAAATGACAATAAAGTTGAATCTAATCTGAATTACCCCTGAATTAAATGGAGAAGTTCTGACTGAAGAAATGAGCTGGCCAGCTTATTAATTGGATATAGGCTACAGTTTTTAATTTAATACACGTTTTAATAGATTGCCAATTTTTTATTGATGATACAATTAAACAGCATTTAAAAAAAAAAAAAGGATTTTTCATACTTCTAACATTCTAATCTCATTCCATTATAGGAAACTGTAACAACTTACACTTTCTGCACATTTTGTCACCTTATAAGGTTCTATCTGACATTTTTGTCAAAATTGAGTTATTCACATATTCTTTTTAAATGGCAACTTATTTACATTATGGGATGTGTTTTTATAAGTTGTTTACATTTTAATGCTTTTTATTTAAAAAACAAAAAAGGTGTATCTACAAAGTTGAACTCTAGCTTGGCACTATAAGGTTCTATCTGAGAGCCAATTAGCATTTTTAATGCATGCATGAGGACCAATCAGGATCCGCTTTCTTTGTCATTTCGCCGGACTGCTCCATTGACAGCAGGAAACACCAGAAGAACAAAATCACAAAAAATCTGAGTCAATTAAATAATGCCGCACCACACAAAATTGAAATGTGTGTAAATGTGATGATTTAGAACCATTTCTTGACACTGAGATTCATTCATTCATTTTCTTTTTGACTTAGTCCCTTTATTAATCTGGGGTTGCAAAGCAGAATGAACCGACAAACATATGTTTCACACACCAGATGCCCTTCCAGCTGCAGCCCAACACTGGGAAACATCCATACACACTCAATCACACACATACACTATGGCCAATTTTAGCTTATCCAATTCACCTGTACCGCATGTTTTTGGACTTGTGGGGGAAACCAGAGCACCCAGAGGAAACCCACGCAGACACGGGGAGAACATGCAAACTCCATACAGAAATGCCAAATGACCCAGCCAAGGCTCAAACCAGCAACCTTCTTGCTGTGAGGCAATCGTGCAACCCACTGCGCCACCGTGTTGCAAACATTGAGAAGAAATGCTCAATTTTACATTGTTGAAAAATATATTATTATTATTATTATTAAATATTTAAAAATTTGTATATTAAATGTAAAATATTTTTATTTGTGTATATATAGTCAGTAAAACACTTTTCAGTGTTTATTAAACTCATTTGCTAATTGTTTGTTTCTTTTAAAGTCTATAAGTTTAATATTAGGCCTTGAAGGACAAATACTTAATTTATTTCATGGGGCATATAATTCAATAAATATAATTTAATAATTTATTTAAAGCATAAAATTTTATAAATATGAACATATTAATTAGATAAAATTAACAGCCGCACTGGTAAAAATATCTAGCACAGCCTTGCATGCTTAATTTTAAAAGAAAAAATATTCATTCTAAAACATGAAATAAATGTTACAGAAAGCAAAATTTTAACTTTCTCAAGCATCAACAACACTAAACTATATATTTTTTATTGTATTGCTTGATAAGTAATGCTTCAATGAATGATCTGCCAGATAGAACCTTATAATTCCAAGTGGAAAAGGACTTTTCAGAATGAGAAGGTTCTATCTGCATTTACCGTGTTTTATTTACTCCAATTTGCAAATGTAGGAGAACTTTGATAATTTACATTTAGAGAACCCTTAGGGTCTCTGTCATGTTAATGGATAAGAGAACTGTTACACATATATTGTTTGCTATATGGAATGCAAAAACTTTGAAGCTCAATATCTCAAAATCATTCAGAACGCAGATAGAACCTTATAATTCTAAGG